GTGCTCTGTTTGCTCACTTGTTTGCAGACTGTGTTTCCAGCACCTTTAAGCCTTGCTCATTGACATTCCTCCCCTGCCCCCATCCCCCATTCTTTCTAATTCAGAAAAATAACTACAAGGTTTTTTTTTTTAAAAAAAAAAAAAAAAAAACAAAAACCATATATTTTTTCCCCTTTAAGAAATGCCCAGTTTAAAAGTTTATTTCCTTAATCCAAATAGAAACCAAAACAATGCTTCCTTTCCACAACTGCTCCACTCTCATTCATCTTTTTCCTTCAAGTTGTTAAAAGAACCTCAAGCCAAAGCATTCTGAGGGGCTCCATTCAAAAGGCATAACTACTTGCCCACCAACTGAACTGCTACACGTACTCCAGTGTGTACCAGATTAAGAAACCTTTTCTAGAACAAAAGTTTTTTTTGTTAATTTAGCATTCAGTGTTTGCAATTGTAATACTGAATTACATCCAGTCATACACAGTCAAAAGCACAAGCATTTAATAAGAAACTAAAAACTATTTTAAGAACAGATGAATTGGATGCAAAAAAAGGAAAAAAAAAGAAATCATTGCTAACTTTCATCTTGGAGAAAAAAAGTATATGGAAAGCTCCAAACCCACAACTACTAAGAGCTTATGCATAAGATCTCATCTGCTTAAAACTTCACTTAAAACTTCAAAATGAAAACTGAATACTTTCTCATCTGTAAAAGTGCAGAAGGATAACGCATTAAGTGAAGTTAAACAAAAAAAGTTATTTGCATCTTCTCTGCCACATCCACACAGGTTCTCACACAGCAAAACAGCAGAGATAGGCAGTACGCATTTTTGCTCAGGCTCAAAGAAGCCAAACTCGAACAGATGCCCAGATGTTTGATAGCACAGAGATCTGGCAGGGGCCAAAGGGCCATAATGTTGCTGAACAGCAGCTAACTAACACAATAAGAAATAAGACTCTCTCTTACCTGGCTGATAACTGCAGAGATCTGACAGTAGCTGCTTGAACTGGTCCTCCAAGATAGACAAGGATTTAGTAAACACCAAGCGTTTCATATGACAATCATACTTATTTGGAGGTTAACTTCTCAGCAACAAACACAAAGAAAAAACACCTCTTGTTCATTTCAAATCATGGTTTGCAGCCTTAAGACCAACACATCCCTCAGATACTTTTCTGCTTTCTCTGCTAGGGCATCACAGTAGTGAAGATTGCATAGAAACAGCATGCAGCAACAGCGTGATACTGACAAAACAGCAAGACGTTAACAGTTCTACTTTCAGCTCCACTCAGTAGAATTCTAGTGCCAAATAGTCTTTGACTAAAATACCAAATGTGTGTATATACATACTAATATACACATACACTCAAAGTTTGAACAGCCTACCTTACCCTTATTTTCTTTTCATCCTGCAAAAAGGCAAGACAATTAAAATGAATGGAAACAAAGTTAAACCTGAAACCTAAGTACATGAACACTCACCAGTCTGCTGGAATTCAACAACTTTCTGTGTTTGTGTAGATGTCACGCTTGTGATCTGTTACAGCACACACAGAGCTTTACCCACGAGTGAACACACGTATGAAAGCCTATGAAAGATGTAATTTTTTTCATGGACAGTGAAATTCACCAAAGCACAGACAGGCTGTTCCAGTCAAGGAACACATGCTCCCTCTGCTGACTGGTTAATTTAATGGAACCTCAAAGGTACCAAGATGCTATTGTGTATTAACAACAGTTTACATTGTGAGAGTACAGCATCGGTACAAGCTTCTAAGGAAAATAATGGAGCCTATTCAAACTACTTATTTTTATCTGAGCTTGAATATTTACCTTCTCTGCACAGGAATCTAGTGTATTTTCCTGTGAGCATTCAGCAGAAAGAATGCCAGGTTCTGATAAAGTAACCACAACATTAAATCTTCCATACATTTAATAAAAAGCACTTTAAACTTCAAGTGTGACATAAATATTTTTATTTACAAAAACAGTGATTTTCCCCAATTCACAAAGAAGTTACAAAAAAATCAAATATATTATGAAGGCCTGAATAGTTGGATACTAATAACCATAATCATTCAGGAACAAGGAATAAGAGTTTTCAACAAAAAACAAAGTGGCAAAATTGTACTTCAACTCAAGGTTTAAATATTAGAAAAGAATGTGTGTTAGTATTTACATCCACACTTAATCTCAGGTGTGTTACCTCCATGGCAGAATACCCACCTGAGACACCAGATCTTGAGAAACATAATTTAGTTGAACATTTTCGACTACGGCTTCTTTAGCTAGTCACAGTATTTAAAAAGCCACACTCCAAACACAATGGATTCTGCAGGACTTGCACCTAAATGTGCTTTCAAGTCCTCACATCGGGGTGCTTGAACGAGTACATTAAGGCATTAAGTTATTAAACAACGTTGACTCTGCAAGTCACAAAATACAATGTCTATTAATATCTATTAGCTGTGTTTGCACTTAGAAATGAAGATGTATGTGATATAATTCAAACTGATAATTATTTTCTTTACATATCAGGACATATTGTTGTCATTAGCCTGTAACAAACTCCATGGAATGTACAGTTCAATCTCCGATTTGTTTCTTTACGAAAACAAACTGGTTTAATTTATCCTTTTCCACTCTAGGATAATTATGATGCTGTGTATCAAACTGAGCAAAACCAAGGAGAAATTAGAAGCAGTACTCTTCTGACTGTGAAATGGATTCCCTAAAACAATCATTATTGACTAGCAGCTGCAATTACAACAACCTGTATAAGAGCATATTTATGAGTAACACACAGAAAGAGTCGTCGTAGCACTCTACCAAGGACAAGGCAGATTTCATCTCTGGCTCTACTTGAGGAAAAAAACAGAACAGCCTATTTCTGCACCCTTTATACTAGGAGCCTTGCTGTACATTACAAATTTGCTAGATAACCTACATAAGAATTGTATCACTTGACACCAGCTCTAATGTAGTTTGGTTTAGGCTCTTTGTTCCTCTGGCCACACTGTTAAGTAATTTTTTTATTAAGAGGTAGTCTAGTAACATATGCTTTTACACCTAAAAATCAAAGCAATGAAGCATGTAAGTATTGACCAGATATTTTCAGAGCAAATGGAGCAGCTCACTTAAAGCCAAAGGTGTCCAGGAACACTGTTTAATGATGCCCCTCCTCATCCAATTGCCTTGCAAGTAGGCTCAATCTTTTCTCAGGTTAACTCATAGCCTGACTATCGTTGTTTGTTTTTTTTCTGGTATACAACATTTTTGTCTCATAGTTCCAGCCTCAGGAAGTGGGTGTATTTTGAATTACTGAACCCAAGTGACAAGAATTTCAGCATCCTCTGTGAGATGCTGCATGAACCTGAAGCTCTCCAGCAGTCCCTAATGCCAAAAACCTAAATCTCAGATGTCTCATGCCAATCCTGTTTTGCTGGTACCATATGCTGCTCTCTCCATTCAAAAGGCATAACTACCTGCCCACCAGCTGAACTGCTACACGTACTCCAGTGTGTACCAGATTAAGAAACCTTTTCTAGAACAAAAGTTCTTTTGTTAATTTAGCATTCAGTGTTTGCAATTGCAATACTGAATTACATCCAGTCATGCACAGTCAAAAGCACAAGCATTTAATAAGAAACTGAAAATTATTTTAAGAACAGATGAATTAGATGCAAAAAAAAAAAAAAAAAAAAAAAAAAAAAAAAAAAAAAAAAAAAATAAAAAAAAAAAAAATTTTTAAAATAAAAAAAAAAAAAAAAAAAAAAAAAAAAAAAAAAAAGAAAAAAAAAGAAATCATTGCTAAGTTTCAACTTGGAGAAAAAAAAGTATATGGAAAGCTCCAAACCCACAACTACTATGAGTTTATGCATAAGATCTCATCTGCTTAAAACTTCACTTAAAACAAAAACTGAATACTTTCTCATCTGTAAAAGTGCAGAAAGATAATACTTAAGTGAAATTAAAATGTTATTTGCATCTTCTCTGCCACATCCACACAGGTTCTCACACAGCAAAACAGCAGCAAATAGCCAGTACACATTCTTGCTGCCAACTAATGTGCATAAGCAAGAAAAAGAGCCACAGGAGAACACCATACGTGAAATATAAGCACAGTTCATTTGCAAGCTTTGGATAACCACCCTAGAAAACAGTATTAAACCATTTTAAAATGCATGGAAGTATACATTCAGAGACTAGAATATACATTCATTAAAGAAAATATCTGTAGCTATAATAACAAGCTGATGTTCAAAGGCAAAATTAAAGAGATTTTAGTGAAATAACAGCACTTCTGTACTCCAAGTCAAATTTGAAGACAAAGGTGTTGTGTGCTGTTGTACTTACCTTTAGATGCACTTTTTATCTTCCGAGTCTGTCAAACCTCACTTAAATTACAGTTGGAGTTTATATGCAGCATCTCATAGATCTATACTTAATACAAAATATTTATTCTCTAAGCAATAGATGAATGAATGCTTGAATTTCAAATGTTAATTCCTGAGCAGGGGACCACTGAGTCCCTTGTGCGCATTTGAGCCACATGCTGTCATAGAAATCCACACACAATTAAGAAAATGTGCATTCACACTTACATCACTGTTGAAGAAAACACAGTTTTGTTTCTTAGCTTAGAAAAACAGTAGGAAAAAGTGTCCAACAGTCTCAGGGCTGCCTGAATCGCCTCCCTTAGTGTTGTCTCTCAAATAAAGCTTCACATACACAGGGTGAGTTCCTGACACTGTCACATCAAACAATGGTTTGGTAGTTTATTGAATTCAGTTACAGTGCTTCAGGAGAATGCCACTCATTTTCTAACAGTAGGACTTCCCCACGCTCCACACAGCTACAGGTATTACCCATCTGCCTACTAAATTTCAAA